GGTGACCCCGTGCATCCAAGTATGGCACAAAACATTTGATCTCTAGACTATGGCTTGGAACAGTCGGTTGACTATTTCCGCCTCGTACCCCCTGCCTTCGAAACATGCACAGCCCCCAGTATTAGAGGGAAACCTTGAAGATCACCACGGCAAGTACGTATCCTGGCGTTATGCCCTGGTCCTTGTAGCATTTCCCAAGGATGCGGCACAGCTGTAGATCTCGTTCTAACTGTAGCTCAATAGGCTTGTTCTGAGACATGGCTTTATGGGACTGCAGAATCGTACGACGACTAGGACGCTCGCTCATCGGTTGCACACATTCTTATCAAAGGAGCGGTTATGGTGTTTGACCGTTTTGATCACAATACTACCCTCACTGCATATGAAGCACGTTATATGGTGATCAGAGTTACATAATCGTGATCACCAGCATGGTGCTATCCCGGCAGACGAATCAACAGCGCCAAATGCCACTTGCTGACCCTGATGCTGAACAAGTCCGTGTCATATCCTCATCATAAATGTTGTCTAGTCTTACTGCCGAAACGTCTGGGCAAATCTATCTGCGTGAATTAAGTGTCAAGATCAGGCTCATGATCGCTCCAGCCTGCCCGGTATGGGTCACCACGAAGCCGGTCATTCTCAAGGACCTGCACCATTGACTGTCAACTCCTCCAACTTCTCCTTGAGCTCGTTAGTTGATTTGAGAGTGCCATTTGTTTCAGCCTCTCCGTTCGTAAGCTCGGCAGGCGTCTCTCCGTTCGTCAATCCCTTTCTGATGGCGAGGACACTGTCAACAATGACAGCATCGATGCCCTGCTTGACCTGACGCTGCACCAAATGTCAGCGAATTCACGTTGTTTCTATCATGTTTAGTAAGGCTTACCTGAACCATGATAGGATCGTTGTTTAGCACGCCATAGCTGAAGCATACAATACCGTTTTCCTTTACAATCTTGATCAAACGGGGGCTGTTGATGAAAGGCTCCGCAGCGGCAACGATACCTAAAAGGTTCCAGCGACTCGCGAAACGAATAGCTTCCTGAAGCGACGAAGCCCGAATGTCACATACATCACAACAGCCTGCGTCTGTGAGGAAGAGAATAGGAATAGAAGGCTGCTTGTAGCTCAGGCACAGGCAGATATCTGGGTTAAAAGAGCTGAAAATAATGTGACGTTGTCCAGCAAGATCGTAGACTTTGGAGAGGACAGTATCACAGAAAGAGTTGAGCTCAACTGCGTACGTGTCCATCTCGTGCTCCTCACTCTCGTGCAGCATGGGGTATTTCATCTCGATGTTGAAGCCAACATGCTCAGGTAGTTCCCGGAAGAGTTCCTCCAGGGTGGCAAAGGGGGCTTGAATGAAGTTTCCTCTCGTGTTACCCTTGAAGCCCTGCTCTTTGAAGTCTTTTGTGTGCTTCATGCGTTCATCCAAGTCGTCAGGCCCGCTGCCAGCAAATCCCATAGATTGTGAGCGTTTTGGTGCCACACTGTTACTGCGCGCTCGGAAATCGCCCGGTTCTCCTGAGTGAGGAGGCTTCTTCTTTGATTGCTGTTGCGCATCTCGACTCTTGTCCGAGTTGATATGTAGAAATTGTTCCAATGTCAAAGTATGAACAGGGGCATCAATGCCTGTTTCACTGACAAGGAAGTCATGGTAAATAACAGGGACGTGGTCTTTGGTCAGTTGAACATCAAACTCGACGTAATGAGCTCCGAGGTTAGCCGCTGCGATAAAAGACGGCAGGGTGTTCTCTCCCAGCTGGAGGGACTTGTTGCTCGTCAGATTCTTGCCGAGCCCTCGATGGCCAATTAGCATGGTAGATTCCAACTTCTTCCAATACGTCTGTCGTGATGTGACTCCCATGTTGGGGTGGTGAAACGGAGTGATGACCAAGAAGTTGAAGTTGACGGTACCAATGACATCGAAGTTGCTTGACATGATAGGAACGCAGACGTCTCCCTGTAAGTTCATACGACGAGAGCCCAGGGTTGGCTTCACAGAAGACAGGAGGGCAACAGCACGTCCAACTTTGTTCTTGTCGTTGCCGGAGTATGTTGGAACGATGTCGAAAAGAAGCTTCACCTTTTCCGCAGCCGACGTCATGAAAACTATGGGCTCAGTCGAGATGCTATCATGCACAGGAAGATCGATGGTGGTGGGCTCACCATGAGCACCTGTAGCAGACACAACAATGGAGAGAGCAGTGTCAAGTTGCGTATTGTGGGCTTCAGTGAGTGGAACGCGGTCCAAGCTGACTGGCTCAACGTTCTTTCGCATGTCCATGGACCCAAGACTAACAAGAACGAGACTCTCATTGGTAAGATATCGGTGTCCGAAGCTCTTGATAGCATCCTGAGAGCGCGAGATATTATTTGTTCCGTTACCATTCGAGCGTCGCTCATCGATAGATGACATATCCGAAGGAGTTGGCTGCAGTGTGTCAACTGGTCTCACTGGAGGAGAGTCAGCCTCGAGCGTGTCGGTTTCAAGCAGTCGTGCAATGTCCATGTGGCCTCGAAGCGCAGCATGCTCCCGTGCAGTCCATCCCGACGAGTCGAGACGCGTGATATCTGCCCCGGCTTCAACAAGAAGCTCTGCCACGCTGAATCTTCCGTCAACAGCAGCGACATGAAGAGGGGTCCAGGAGTAAGTACTCTCTGTAGCCTCAAGGTCTGCCTTTTGATCTTGGGTTCCTTTGAGGATAATCTGAGCACATTCGACATGCCCGAAACGAGCTGCAACATGAAGCGCAGTCTCGCCGGTCTTGTCTTTCCAGTTGATATCAACGCCAGCTTCTATCAGGAGCTGTACAATGACACTGTAGTTCGACTTGGTAGCAATGGCCAGGACAGCGCCTGATTTGGCAATGGACTTCCGTATATCAGCCTTGCCTTTGCTGCTTCCTTCCCAGTTCTCACCCTGCAAGAGTGCTCGAGTGGTAAGAGGATGGCCTCCCACAACACTAAGGTGAAGGGGCGCATACCCATCATTGTCCTGCCACTCGGGTGTATCAATTCCATCCTTTACATGGAACTGGCCCCACTCTTGCATCTTGGACATGATTATCTGGCAGATAACTACAATGCCAAACTGAGCCGCGTAATGAAGTGGCATACGACCGAAGGAATCGCGACTCTTGAGCGCAATCCTCTGTTCCGGGCGCAGCTGCTCGAGCAAGAATATAAAAAGCTGAACCGCCTCATCATCCTTGTTCAAGAGCAAGGACTCGGTTTGATTTAAAGACTTGGCAGCCTTCGAGGTAGTCAAGCCTGGCTCGAGGTGCCTGTTACTGAACTGCGAGCCAGCAGGTACAGGGCGAGACTTTGAATCTTGCTCAACGTTGGTGGCTTTTGTGCGTCCAATGTGAATAACTAGACGGTGAATGCAGCTGCGACCGTTGATGTCGTCCGGCTCATCTAGGGTCTTTGTGTTGGAAAGAAGAAAAGCCATGCATGCCTTGGAGCGCACAGAAATTGACCGCTGGAGGAGACCCAGTAGAAGTGGATGAGCACCTTCCTCAATAGCGTTGCATTCCTCGAGACCATCCTCGAGAGCAGAAATATCGTCGTTACGCACAGCTTGGTCAAGCATATCGAGCTGAGCTTGAGGTAAACTTAACATGCCTTTGGCTGAAGCCCGGCCCAGAGAACGGGTCGAATGTTCAGACATGGTATCATTAAACGTCTGAGCCTCTGAAAGCACGGACATCCACCTATTAATCTCATTAAGAAGTCTCACTGTGTTTGCTTCCTTTGCGAAAGGCTTGACGTCGACCTTTGTTGTAATGTAGGGACGCTGTGTGACAAGGTCTGGGACTTTCTTGTCGAGTTTCTTTGTAATCTTGACAAAACCCCTGCGGTTAATCTCACCAAACCATTGCAAGTTTCTAAACTGGCTTCTCAGCTCAAGCAGAGCGCCCATGACTTCTTCGACTTCATCCTGGTCCAGGGTAGCGACAACATCGGGGGTTCGTCCATATCGGTTTTGGAGGAGGTTCAGCCGGCGACAGAACTCGGCGAGTTTCTTGTTGTAGAAAAAGTCGACATCTTCGAGGTTTCGATCAAGAGCGAAAAAGAATTCTGCATCAGGAGTTAGGGGAGAGGCTCAGTGTGCGACACAAAGAGTCGTTCAAAGCCGCCCACCTGCAGGATCCACCTTTTCCCCATTCTTTGCTTTCTCTGCTGCTGCTTTCACAAGTTTCTTGAGGCCCTTGTAGTTGATGTATGAGGCCGCCCACTCGGGGACCTGGTTGCGCGGTAGACTGGGAAAAGTAATGAGTTAAACGTGCTTATTAGAACAGATTGTGTGAGTGCTCACTTTCTTCCGAATTTCATGCTGCGTAGCCCCCCCGATAACTAAACAAAGAAGGAAGCAGAATCGGTGGGCGGTACAATTGTAGCGTGGTAAAGATAGATAGTGAGAGAGGCACACCGCGTTTCGACCCCTCAGATAATTTATAGTTGTTGACAAAGCTGACTTTGGCGCACAATCGCAACACCCAGTCAACTGAAAAAAGAGAGTTTTCAACAATGTTCTGCAGCTGCAGTGTAATGCGACACGATGGTCGATCGCGGGCTAGTGACGTCAAATCAACTTTGCGCAAACAATCAAAAGTATCCGTTGTCTTGAACAAGTGGCCATAGAGCGAGTAATGAATAACTTATGTATTCACAAATCACGTATGTCAATCCAGTTCTCACAAAGATAAGTATGCCAGAGATAGCGTTAGAAGAATGAGAAGAAGAAAAAAGAAACGAGAAAGGGGAGGAGTGAACAATGACTGGAGATATGTATGTAATGCTATGGGTACTGAGACCTGGATCCCGCTCGGGAACCGATTTTACTAAATAAGCCCAGCGAACAAAAAAAGAACAAGGTCGTTCCTTTGCCGAAATAGCATTCGTGGATATTTAATGGATGATGGAGCCTTGAGACGAACTTGTTGATGCGATCCATCCCATCAGTGGAGAGTTTTCCATTCTTGAGCAACCCAGTAATGGAATGTACAGTACCTGCGCACCTGCCAAAGTATAGTAGCAAGTACCGGGCTGTTCTTTCTCAGGCCTTTACCGTTTTCTTGGAAGGACCCTTAGTCGATGTCGAGCCTGCCAATCCAATTGGCCCCGTGGACCCTGTACGACCTCGTGACTGGCCGGCACGATTCAGGGCGCACCCATTCGGAAAAGTCGCATCGCGACCCTTGAACCTGTCAGATCACGCCGCCACTTGGATACAGTGCAAGCTGAAAGTCGGGCTCACTATGAAACCGACTTTTGACCGCCATGTTGGTTACCATCTACAAGAGTGCTAATATACTGTGCGATCAATACCAACAATCAATTCATGACAGGGGATAACCCACGATGACGAACGGAAACGCTTAGTGGCGGCGCTTTAGCTGCAAGCCTGGTCAAATTTGTATAGAGGCCGAGGTTCAGTACCCTGACAAGGGAGTTGGAGGAAACAAATGCTTATGATTGTAAACTTGCACTACAAATATGCTCAAATTTTGAACAAGGGCACTTTTTGCTGCGTATGTATATGTAGTTTAGATAATTTCATTCATATATCTTTATGCTTCGTGCAAATGCTGTGTCTATCCTGTATATGTGTGTGTGCGTGTAGGTAACGTATAATACAGTAGTAAAACATTGGAATGCATGTAAGTGAAACACTCATGTATGCGGCTCGTTGCTTTTCAGAGCTAACCGAAACTTGGTCTTTCCGAATATCCCACCCGCTGATCTGTCACTGGCCATGTGGTCAGCCTCATTGGTCTCGCCCGCAGTGGCTTATGCCCTGCATTCATTTGCTTATTTGACGTTGTCCCCTGTGTCAAGGGCATGTGTGGCTCATCCTCTCGTAATGACATCTCAACCTCTTTGTCTGCGTGCTCACCTGTCGTTGTCCGCCTTGATTGTATCATCTTCTCAACAAAACTGCTCTTAGAACGAGCGACAGAAGCGTCTTCGAACGTCTTGCACGCCGTAAGGCCTTTCTCAACCCGGTCTGAACGGGGAAGTCGCGCAAAAACCTCCATAATCTCCCTATTCAGCTCCACAATATCGTTGGCCGCAGCGTTTCCTATATGAGAGGCCATGGACTCGCGGAAATATTGAGAAAAGTCGGGATAGAGTAGTTTACTCTCGATAGAACGTGTGGTTTTTGCAACAAAATCTTGTTCCTTCCACAGTGCCTCAATCTGAAGTAACTTCCTCTCCGGAGAGCTGATAAGCTCAGTTGTCGAGTCTTGTATCTCAAGCTGGGAAGTTGAGTCTACTGTCGCCAGGTCGCTCAGGAATTTTCGGAATCCGTGATTAGATATTGACAAGTTGCTGAGAACTGACGCGGATACTTCACCGTTTGGGGTTTGTAAACCGGCGAGGTCAAGCAAGACTCGTAGTCGGCTGATAAGGTAGGCTGTATCTTGATCCCTGTCGAGCAGCATACAGGGCCATGTATGGGCACAATCCGCAAAACCTTGTACCAGACGCACGGCAGACCTCCAGTCGAGAGCGACAATACACTCATCGAACAACTGCTTGATGATTTGTGTGCTAAGGACAACCTTGGCTTTCATGCAAGACACGAAGAACATGGCGGCTTGTTCAAAAAGATTCATGCGAAGAAGACCTTGAATAGCAGCCTCAACGACAGGTTTGTTTAGTAATGCGTGCTGCCAGAAATAGTCGCCCGTTTGCGTCCACGTCTGGATCTTGTGGCGCCTGCTTCTTGAAGTGTCAAACCCTTCTGCTAGCCTGCGTCTCACCTTGGCCCCTGTCTCGCCGTCAAGCCCAGTGATACAGGCAAGGCTACGTAAGAATCGCCCGTAGTTGCCTGAGGTTTGGTAATGATTTAAAATGGCTACAAACGTGGATGGCGTTGGTCTTAGTCGTCGATAGTAGTAGAAGGAATTAACTACTGATTCTGCCAAAAACCTGTAACCGTGCTTGTCGAAAGCCACGATGAGTGTGTTGTACGTGTGCATGTCAGCGGGGTAAGCAGAGACAAGCAGATTGTAGCACACTCTGCCGACTTTTTCTTTGAGGCTCAGTGATGAGCCAACAACCTGGCGGAGGCCGAGATTCAAGGTAGCTCGGTTCTTCTTCATCATTTCGGAATTTGACTCTACAAGAAATTTGTAAGAAGGATTTAGGTCCGCAATCTTGACAGCCTCGTCAAAGCTGGGACTTGGTGAATTGGATTTGTCGTGAGCATCAGCTCGTTTGAGTAATTGCTGGATAAGGTGGTTGAGCGTACGTCCAGCGTTATGGACCTGCTTAGAGTTCGTTGGCCTTCTATGAGGGATGCTGTCGTCTGTCTCCTCTCGAATGATGGCCTGCTCGAGATGTTCATAATCCGTTCGTCGGTAAGCATCCATTGTTGCCTTGTCTGGACATTGGTATTGTTCGGTGTGTGCCCGGTTGAGAAACTCGTCGATTCGAATGGTAGCAGGCTTATATGTCTCCTTCATATATGGCCGATTCGTGTATATCTCCTTCAAAGACTCCCATAAGTAGTGCATTTGACCAAGAGAGATGTCGTTGTGAGCGGAACTGCTCCCTTTTGTACTTTGGCTCGCCTCGAGGTTTCGGAGTTGGGCCAATTCCCGCCGTGTTTCCTCCAACAGTCGGTCTATTTCCTGTCGTCGGTCCTCCTTTCGCACAGCATCAACAATGGCGGCGGTCGCAAACATGGAACTGTAGCATGCTGTAAAGATATCGGCAATGGCGACTTTACGTGGTCGAGTCGCGGTTGTCACTCGGCGGCCGAGAGTGCTCACAACTGTTTCGCAGGCGCGGCAACCGCAGCGATGAGCCCGGCCAGCTCTCGACCACAAAGCCTGCATTTTCGGCGGCGACCAGATGTCTAGGGCATAGCTCTAGAGCGATTGAGGGTTGTCGTTGATGGCAATCGCTCAATTGAGGTGTTTCGTGGAGTCGTTGGAACCACGAAATTGGCTGGTCACAGATGGTTCGATTCTCAAAGTCACGTGGGTATTACGTTCATCGTGAGGTTAGCAGCTTGTAGGCGCTATTCTCACACCCCACCACCCACATTCCACCAAGGGTAGTGGCTCTGAACCAACTGTATTCTGTTTGATTCACAGCAATTCACAGATAACACCTACTTATCTTTACAACATCATCTCCAGTTTCTCAATTGCCACATAAACAACCATGTTCGCTCTCTATCTAACAGCCGACTTGCAAGGGTATGTCATTAAGTTTTTGCTATCTTGAGCTTCATTGACGTGAGGGGCAATCCCAATATGACAGGGTCACCAACTTACGTCCTGATGATACTCAAGACAACCCTTTTTGGTACATGTTCAAGGTTCAGTGTACCTCTTGCCGAGAGACTCACTCAAACTATGTTGGAGTCAACCGTTTCGTACGTGCTGGTCAGTCTGTGCGGTCATTCATTTACTAAAGGTCTTGTTTAGGAGACAAATGAGATGAGTGGAAGCCGAGGAGAAGCCAACTTTGTATGGAAATGCAAGAACTGCAAGGTTAGTGTTTCTGAAACTGAACCGAGTATGTTTGCTAACAAAATGTTAAGCGAGAGTCTTCTGCATCTGTCAAGTCCGGACCTGCAGCTTATGGACAGACAGAGCCGGCCAAGGCCCAGAAGATTATTGAATTTGACTGCCGAGGTCTCGAGTTTGTCGAATTCAAGGCAGAGGTACATTACCAGTTATCCATCGTCTGGGTTGTGATATATGCTGACATGATCCTAGGGCGAGTGGCTTGCCGAGGGTGCTGAGACCGGCACCAAGTTTACAGCCATCGATCTGGAAGAGGGCGAATGGTTTGAGTATGACGAGAAGTCCAACGAGGAAGTGAGCATTAACGAGGTTAAGTGGGAGGTCCGCCGCTCGTAGAGCTCTCCTGAGGTTGACATTAAGTTGGCGTCTGGATGTAGGTTTCAGCAACAAAGAGGCTATATAGCAGGAGTAAAAAGAACATACGAAAATTACTTGGTATAAATAAAAGACCACCAAAGATATCGTAGGAATCCTTTAATATTCGCATACCCAGGACTTATTGTGAAAGATGCAAGTTGCTCAGTGAGGCTGGTGAATTAGAAGCTCATCAGACAACAGCCAGACCAACCAATCGAGCGACAGTTTGTATCTAATCAGACCCACCTTTTCGCGACTGTGGCCGTCAAGGTTCTGAACTCGAATGCGAACAACTCTAAGACTGACTTCAAAGCCGACTGCAAGAAAACCAAGACGCATCAACAATCTCTCAATCCTTTCACAATGTCACTACCGGAGCTTCCAGGAACGGCCGACTTTCTCACCGATGCAGCACACCTCCTACGCATGACAGCCCCAGAGACTTCAGCTCATCTCATGACCTATCGTGGCAACCTTCTTTCACAATTTAGTATCTCACCGTCTGATGTTCAACGACAACGCGTATGCGGAGGCTGTGGTCTCATAACAATCCTAGGCCAAGAAGCCATGCTGAAACTGGAGACTCGAGAAAACATGCGAGCCAAGACAAAGGGCAAAAAGTCTGACATCGACTCAACACCGAAAGACAACAAAGAGGGGCCATGCAAGATCCTTCACTGCGACAACTGTCAACGAGACACAAAGATTGTCCTCTCAGCTCCGGTGCCTGCTGTGAGACGCAAAACAGCACAAAATAAAGTCCAGAAGACTTCTGCATCAGTTGAACCGCCTAAGCAAACTTCAAATGCCAGCAGTAAGAAACGCGCTAAAAACCGAAAGGCCGGACTCCAAGCTTTGCTTTCAGGTCAAAAGCAGCAAGCCGCAAACCCTCTCAGTCTTTCTCATTTTATGAAATGAGATAGCAATTGTTTGCGTTCGCTTCTATATCCGATGTTAGGCATATCCATCTTTAATTGGTCAAATAACTCAAATTTGCTTTGGGCAAATGCAATGAGCGATCTGAGTCATCTCGGGCTGCTACCATCCATTCACTGCATCCCGAACATTCTAGCGCCAGCCTGCATCTGCTTGCCAATCTGCACCCTGGACCCCATGACATAACTAGGTCTAGACTTAATTGCCCCTCCAAAAATTTCATGACCCCTCTGCCCCTCCATTACATCGGATTCCAACCACCAAAACGACCATTTTAACGATACGGTCTCACCACACACAAAAATGACTACCGAAGAAGATAACAAGCAAACTCCTGAGGAGTTTTTCCAGAGCATCGGCGATAAGGTCAAGAGCCTTGCGCCTGCTCAGAACGATGACGACGAGCGCGCTGTCGAAGAGATTGAGTCTCTTTGCATGAACTGCGGCAAGAATGTGAGTTGAACCATTGTCTGACAAGTCGCATACCAAAAAATCTAACGAACTCGCCAAGGGAGTTACCCGTCTTCTTCTCACCGCGATCCCTTACTTCCGCGAAGTCGTCATCATGTCTTTCTCCTGCGAGCACTGCAACCTCCAGAACAACGAGATCCAGGCGGCCGGAACTGTCCAGCCCAAGGGAACACACTATGAGCTGCGCTTGACAGAACTTGCCGACTTCTCTCGCCAGGTCATCAAGTCCGATACTGCGACCGTCAAGTTTATTGAGCTTGACCTCGAGATTCCTGATGGCCGCGGCCAGCTGACAAACGTTGAGGGTCTTTTGACTACCGTGATCGATGACCTCGAGATGGGACAAGAGGCGCGAAAGGAGCAGTCTCCTGAGGTTTATGTCAAGATTGCTGAGATCATTGCCAAGGGCCGCGCCATGCTCAATGGTGACTCATTCCCCTTCCGTGTCTGGGTTGACGACCCTGCTGGAAACTCATTCATTGCTCCCGATCTGAAGGACGGCGTTGGCAAGTGGGAGAAGCATGAGTATGCCCGAACCGACGAGCAGAACGCTTCTCTTGGTATCTCCGACACCAACGCCGATAATCATCAGATGCAGAACCCCGGTTTAACCGCCGACGGCGAAATCATCCCCAACGAAGTATACAGCTTCCCCGCCACATGCCCTGGCTGCATGCGTCCTTGCACCACCCACATGAAGATGGTCGACATTCCTCACTTTAAGCAAGTCATTATCATGTCTACTGTTTGTGATGATTGTGGATACCGCTCCAACGATGTCAAGACTGGTGGCGAGATTCCCGAGAAGGGTGAGAAGATCACTCTCGAGGTCAAGGACAGCACCGATTTGGCCCGTGACATTCTCAAGAGCGAGACCTGTGCTCTGGAGTGCCCTGAACTTAAGCTGCAGGTCAACCCTGGTACACTTGGTGGTCGCTTCACCACTGTTGAGGGTCTCCTCACTCAGGTCCGTGGCGATCTTCACTCCCAGATCTTCGAGGCTAGTGGCCCCGGCCAAGGTGGTGACTCTCTCGCCAGCGACGAGAAGAACCAATGGACCGCTTTCTTCGACGGTCTCGATGCTGCTATCCGAGGCGACAAGCCTTTCACAATCAAGCTCACCGATCCTTTCGCGAGCAGCTACGTTCAGCCCCTCGTGGACCCTCCTGCTCCTGACCCCAGTATCCACCGTGAGAGCTATACCCGCACCGACGAGGAAGAGGAGGAACTTGGTCTCAAGGACATGAAGCTGGAGAACTATGGAGAGGACGATGAGGAGGAGGAGAAGGAGGAGAAGGAGGAGAAGGACGGCAATGACAAGACTGAGGCTGCCACTGCGTCATAGTACTGGATGGCTTTGATTCCTCTTTTCTGTTTGTCTGATTAAAAGTTAAGCCCATAGATGAAGCAATGATTATTAAGTTTATGACCCATGTAGTTTCTCGAGCATCGACTATTGATTTGGACTCTCACTCGAACCGCACTCTAAGTCGTGATGAACTTCGAGTTTGATGATATAAGATCTAGTATTCAGACAAACCTAGGTAGGCAGGCTGATGTGTTATTTGACATACTAACTGCCTGCCTACCTGAAGGTACGTACTAGCTGTTGATGTTTCTTACACTGACCACAATGTATGGTACCGGGTAGCCACGTGATGCTTGGAGTTGTCATTCGGGATATGTGTCGTCGATTCCCCGAGCCTCGGTTCAGGGCGCTCCCCTCATGACTCCACTCTAACCGGGGGAAACTCAACTAAAGCAACAAGGGGACTTCCCCAGATGAGCTCCCCAGACCAGACTGACTTAGTCCACAGTAGGCCTCGGTTTATGATAAATGAGAGAGCTTCATGATTTTTCATCTCTTGTATTTTTCTACTATCTGTTAAACTCTCCAGGAGCCAAATAATATTACAATCATGTCTGACAAGGCACAAGATCGTATTAACGCCATTGGCAACCAGCTTCTTCCACCAATCAACAAGGTAGCTCCAGGATCAAGCAAGCTTCGCGTCGAGGGAAAAGTCGTCATCATAACAGGTACTTGAAAAATATACTCAAATCTTTCACCGTATCTCCCTCTTACTCCTCCATAGGTACAAACTCGCCATTGGGTATCGGCCGTGCCACTGCCCATCAGTACGCGGAAAGCGGCGCGAGAGCTCTGTATCTCTGCGACTTTGACGATACCCATCTTGAGACACACAAGAAGGAGATCAACGCCGCATTTCCAAGTGTGGAAATTCACACGAGATGCTTTGACGCCGCGGATGAGGACAAGGTCAAGGAGGTAGTTGACGATGCTATCCAGCGCTACGGTCGATTGGATGTCTTCTTTGCCAATGCCGGTATCGTTGGACGAACCACGCTGTTTTCTGATTTCAGCAAAGATGAGTTTATGTCGATAATGAACACCAACACGTCAAGGTACGTACAGCCTCTGCTCAGCTTTCCACTCCACCACGCCTTTAACCTGTATCGCCTAAATAACACATCCCAGCGTCTTTCTAGCAGCAAAGTATGCGGCACCCGCTATGATGGAGACCTCCCCAGACAAGCCCCATTCCGGGGGCAGTATTATAGGCACAGCCTCAGTAGCCGGTATCCGATCCAATGCCGGCTCCACGCCCTACTCAGCCTCCAAGGCTGCGGTTGTGTCGCTGGCGCAGACAATATCGTATCAGCTTGCCGGGACTGGCGTGCGAGTGAACGCCATCTGTCCTGGTCTCATCGAGACCGGCATGACGGCATCCGTATATGAGGCTGCGAGGGCTCGCGGTAGCGAGAAGAAGATTGGTCAGCTCAATCCTTTGAAGAGAGGTGGCAGAGCTGATGAAATTGCCCGCGTTGCTTTGTTCCTGGGAAGTGACGAGAGCAGTTATGTCAATGGACAGGCTTGGGCTGTTGATGGTGGGTTAAGCGCTGGACACCCTTTTGTTCCAGGAAGGCTCGGGTAAATCTTGCGACTGCAACACTATACTATACTACGGAACTCTTATGATAGTGTCTGTCATATATATCCCAATGTTATTAGCGATATTGCAAAATACGTCCATTATCAAACTTTTTCAATTTATCGGAAGCGATGCCGGTCTCGACCAGAGGGAGTAAAAATTAAATCTCAGCTAAAAGAATCAATCAGCTCATCCGTGCTTCCGAGTATTAGTCCATTCTTAGTTTCAAAATATCACCTCTGATATACCCATCCGCAACCCATAGAGTATCAGAACAACGAAACACGATCCTCGCGCCAATCGCATCAACAAGCATCAGCCGAGAAGCCAAGAGTGAAAATCGCGATACCAAGTCACGAAACAAGTTCTATCTTTATTCTTCTCTCACGTTTTGACTTGGCATCTCCAATCGCATCTTCGTTTGGGAACCAATTGTATCGGTAATTGATACGCCCTGTGTTTAGTAAAATTTATTATGATAGTACTTGCAAAAATGATAGTCTAAGCTTCGTACAACGAGTCAAAGGAATCATTGCGCATAGTCTTTTGCGGGAACAAGTGATGTCAAGATAAAATGATAAATGCTATCTGTTATGTCAAAGACGCGCTAACACGGTACTGTATATGTGAATCATGTCAACGACACCATCCCACTTTCAAATGCACGACCCAGGAGGAAGTGTCTCCCTAAAGGAACTAGCATGTCATCACGCTATTATCGAAAAGTAAGGCAGTTGAATACCGGCCTTAATAGCGTGGACGATGATATATGTACCTTGAACCGTTAGAGATAATAAAGTCAATTCATTCGCTGAAAAGAGAGATTATGGGGCACAGAGTCTCGACTTGAGAGAGATCCATAGCACGAAACACCAACCAAAACCCGATCCTGACTCAAGGAACCCAGTATCAAGTCTCAACCCCTTGAAGGTCTTCTGAAACGCCCAACGACGGAGAACAAGTTGTTGATCCTAGGACAACGCTCCATAACCATGCAATACAAGGGAAACATTACCGAAAGCATGTCCGATAAACATGAAGCCGCGTCATCTAGAAAACAAAAAAGACATACCAATAGAGCACCAACTATGGGCTTCCTCATACATCCATATAGTCCATCGCTCATATATGTACATCGTACCTTAATACATCCTCATGCTCTGATTCGACCCAGATTCAGTCGCTAGCTCAATTACGTACCTCGTGCATTGGCTCTTCTGTACAAAATCAATCCACCCGATCTTTCGCTTAACCTGCGTAATGATCGCCAGGGGTCAGACTTGATGGTGTTAATCAATTCCCTGCCCAGGATTGTCGGAGCTTTTGCAGTTTGAAACCCATCAGCTTGCCATTCGAGGTGGGATTTGCTGGCGTCAACTTGTAACGCGGAGGAACCTTGAGCCTCGAATCTCTGTTCGTTAACGGGGAGTAGGGAGATGACAGACAACGTCCGTCCCATGTTTTACAGCTACTTTATAATATAAATAAATGCCCGAGCCCCCTAACCTTTCTCATGAGTCTTTGAGTCTCTCCATCGCCACTTTTTCCTTACTCTTTTTTTTTTTTTTTCAACCCTTCAAGACTACCAGTTGCAGGCATCTGTGGTCAGTCTTTTCTTCTAGTCATTCTCTATTCTTTGTATTTCATTTTACTCTTCAGTCCAATATCAAACATGGCTGTTCTTTCTCTCCTCACAGTGACTCTGGCCCTTTCTTCCCCGGCCATGGCCCGGCCTCGCCCACAATTCGATAACGGAGGTGATGCTCAAACGCCCGGTGCCGGTTTGGGCGGTGGTCTCATCCCTACTGTTCTCCCTGGTGCTGGTGCTGGTGCTACTGAGACCGCCGGTGGTGGTCTGGGTGGTGCCCTTCCCACTGGTGGTCTCGGCGGTTTGCTGCCTGGTGCCGGTGCCGGTGCCGGTGGTGCCGCTCCGGACGGCGAGACCATACGCGACAAGATTGAAAAATTCCTTACAGATCTTTTCGGAGGTGGTGACAACAACGCTGACCCTCCTGCCGCCGCCCCAACCGGCGGAGCCGGCGACGATGCCAGCACTGCCACTCCTATCGCCACTCCCGGCAGCGGCGATGCTGGAGCCAACGAGTCTCCTCTCTTGACCCCTGGTAGAAACAATGCTGGCGCCGGCGGTGCCATTCCTACTTTCGTTGCTGGACCTGGCGCAGGTTTCGGAAACGGTGGTGCTTCTGATGCTCCTGCTCAAACACCTGGTTCCGGTAACGGTGGAAACGATAATACTTCTGAGGATTCTGTCGCCCCTACTCTCATTCCTTCTCCTGGCAGTGGTCTTGATGGCCCCGGCACTGCTCCTGGCGCTGTTATTCCCACCTTTGTTGCTGGACCCGGTCAAGGCTTCGGAGACGGTGAGACCCCTACGCCCGGCACTGGTGCTGGTAACGGCAACGACAACGCTTCTGATGCCCCCCAAACCCCTACCCAGACACCTGGTAGCGGCAGTGGCACTCTGCCTACCGATGGCCTAGCCGCCCCCAGCGGCGCTATCCCTACCTTTGTTGCTGGACCCGGTAACGGTTTCGGCGAAGGTGGCAACGCCCCTACTACACCTGGATCTGGCAACGGCAACGGCAACGACAGCGACAACACTTCTGACGCCCCTGAGGCCCCCACACAGACGCCTGGCAGTGGCAGTGGAACTCGACCTGGCGGTGATTTGGCTGCACCCAGTGGTGCTATTCCTACCTTTGTTGCTGGGCCCGGTAATGGCTTCGGTGAGGGTGGCGATGCGCCTGCTACACCTGGATCTGGACTCGGCGGTGGTAACGATGACTCCAACGATGCTCCCGAGACCCCAGATCGTGGTAGCGGTAGAGGAAACCTCCCCGGTGGCCTGCTTCAGCCCGGACGCGAAAGCCAGACTGACTCCAACATTCCCACTTTCGTTGCCGGCCCTGGTAAGGGTTTCGGTCGTAGGAGCCAGAACGGCGGCCTCCAAAGGCGCGCTCGTCGCTCTTAAGAGCTTCATGTACAACTAGACAGCGATGTGATGGATCTCCTATGTTGAAAAAATGAAAAGAGGAAACATTCGTATTCCAACATTGTGTTGGGTATAAAGCAGGTCTTTTGGCCCTTCATTGTGTATCTACTTCCATAGCAGCGCCCGTTGTTGATAAAGCAATTTTGGCGTAAATATCCTTCTCCCAGCGCATGTATTCCGTTCGTTTGGCATCGCTGAGAAAGTCGTATTTGTCCTGAAACATGGTGTCTGCCTTTTTGACTTGCATCTTTGGCATAGTCTCTTCGTCGAGCATCGCAACATCCTCAAGGTGGCCTCTTTGGGTCAGCTTGACGACGTCTGCAATCCCTTGATACCAATCGCCAGTGAGCCATGATCGCTCGTTGACTTTGGCAACTGCATCATCAAAGTCCTTCGACTTGATATTTGTCCAATCTTCCCAAGCATCCTCCTCTGATAACCCCTTAACGTCGACCTCCCGCCGTGCTTTGGTGAGTAAAGTAAGGATCTCCTTTCTTAGAGGTACATATCCTTCTCGGTCAATACCTTCTCCTGATGCAAGAGCCTTGACGCGCATGGTTACGAAGAAGTAGATTGCGGCGAACAAGGCTGTGACATTCTGCAGCACCCATTCATCTTCTGTTCTACGACCTTCTGGTGTAACTATAGTTTCCAGACCAGCAAGAATCGTAGGGGCGAGTTTCTTGTGGCTCGTTTCTTCGCATACCCATCTTGTCACTGGCTGAATCCATCCATGAAGATTGACACCCCTAAAGGTTTGTGTCTTGCTTGTGGATTTTGTCGAAGTTCCACTTGCCCCCTTTGAAGGCGTTCTGAACTGTGCGAGGCTTTGTTCTTTCGTAGGTGTTCCTCTTGATGGTAGTGGTCGTGACCCATCAGCAGGTGAATCGCCAGCATTGCGAAACCTTGAACTTGGTGTTCTCCTTCCCGCAGCGGCTCGGCCAGGGGTCGAAGCGCTATTTGGCAGAATGTTGTCAAGATGAGCGTAGAGACGGTCGTAAATACGGGGTGGGATCGGTGGTCGAGGCTCGATAGGTGGAAGGTCAAGGGTAATTTTTAAACTAATACGGTAAGCTTACATGGCTCGAAAATATCACAGGAATAACATACCGATCGCAAGCAATGTTTGCGCAAGCATATAATCTTGCAATCTCCTCTTCCGTCTTGAGAGCGCTCGCTCGATGTCGAGACTGAGCAAGCAAAGAACCTGCAAGCTCTACAAGTGATGGTGGTAAATCGGAGCCATATGTTGGCATCAATGAAAGCAAAGCCTGCTCAATCTGACGACTCATGATGATGGATTTGACTTCTTGTGGTGGTGGTGAGATTGCGCCGTAGCTTGTGAATGGAAAGACCAATATTTGGAAGTTGATAACGCGGTCAAGACAGAAGACGCGTTACGTAGCAACCTACTGTTGACGCCTGGTCACGAGATACTGGCCATAGCTTAATTGATCACCCCGCCAATTGACTTTATTGTCGATCGCCTTGATAAGACAGGGTATGGAGATGAGTTTGTTGGGATTAGGGAAAATCGCAAGATAAAGGCCGACCTAGAGTAGGATCGCAGTATGCTACTGTACATTGAGGAATCGTTCCTGTTCGGGGCCCCTTTGTGGAATCCTTTTTAAGTTCAGGTTTGCATACCTTTAACGGTCATAGAATATCAATCCAAAGCCATGATATCCAATGGTCAAAGACCCATTCGTTGGAGAACCAAATAATACTGCCCAGGCTTAGGTCCCTGGCACTTAAGCTTTGGCGGTTCTGTTCTAGCGGCTCGGGAACCCCTGGCAGCCTCCAAATCCAGACGGACCTACCTATCCTACCGACCACGTTCACCTGGAGGTGTCCATTGAACCTCACTCCTTTATTGTGACCGACTTGTCCAACCATCAATTGTGTCTCGATACCTGCATCGCGTCGTTTTGCATATCTTTCTCTTCTTCCGTGTTATCTCCTCCACATATCCGACATAATGCGCACTGGTGTCTTCCTCAGCGTCGCTTTTGCGACCACAGTGTTTGCCCACTCGCAGAAACCTGTCGTTGACGCCAATGCCGACTGGATGACCAAACATATGGCGGGTATGTTGTTTTCTGCTTTGTCCTGGAGTCTTACAGTTATGCTGACATCTTTTTTCTTGTAGAGGAGCACCATGTACAGGGTTGGGACGCCGACTCCTTCTTCACCCTCCACGACTACAACGGCGATGGATGGTGGCAAGCTGCTGAGCTTATGCGAACGTACGGTCTGTTCGACGAGTCAAACAAGGGCATGGCCGAGAAACGAAAGGACGAGGTTCGTGATATCCTACTGGGCCTGCTCGACAAGGATGCCGACTCTTCGGTCAGTCGCAAGGAATGGATGGACTTTATCAACTCGGGCAAGACACTCCCCGACTTGAACACTGGTCCTGGACATCATGGTGACGACGAGTACGAGTACGAGATTCATCATTGGGAAAAGTACCACGACGACAATACCAAGCTTGAGGACCTGACACATCCCGAAGACATTGAGCACTTTAAGAAGCACGACGAGATGGAGGATGCCCAAGATCGCCTCGAGGCGATGCAGAAGCTCTCCATTGTTGAGGCCAACATTCCTCAAAAGTTCCGACGACAATAGACAATAGATGACGGACTTGGACTGTATTTTACATAGAATACCATGACTGGGGCAGGGACTCGGGTGCGATAGTGTTATATGACATCATGATGGATGAAAATATGTACTGAAGCTTAATGTTGAGATAGTAGTCATGATTATACATGATATATCTAGATTTTTTGAACATGAATGTCAAAGACGCAATGCCAGACGCCTGGCGCAAATGTCTTGACCTGCTCTATATGTTCAACATTGGCCACCCGGTCCGTTCCTTGGCGCCAATCATTGAACTTGCGCTGGATTTCTTCACGCCTTGTCTCTGTGTCATTGGCACCGACATTTTCGTGGAGATGAAGCCATGTTTCACCAGCTGGAGTGGAGATATCCCACGTATCTCGCCAAGTCGGTTCGCTCGTGGGAAGAAAACCGCAATTGATGTGTCGCACGTCTCGCGCAATATCACTACCCTGCAATGACTGAATCCTTCTCAGAGCTTTCTCGTTGCTTTCGAGGAACACGATTATTTGCTCCCCTCCGCCGACAATCTTCTCAGTTGGTAAGGCGAGATCTTCCCCTTGAACAATCCGTACGCTCCATCGGTTTGCTACAGCGCCGCGCCTTAATCCTTCAACACTCCATGGGTTAATCTCCCAGCATAGGACCCTCATCCCAAGTCGAGCATACGAAAAGACAAAATAGCCAATGCCGGCATAGAGATCAACGGCCCATGTGTCTTTGAGTGTTTTGTCTCCCATATCTAGCAGTCTTGCCTTCTCTTTGACATTGCCTCGACTGAACATGGTCCACCTCGGCGCCCAAGTTTGGAATATTCCATTCTGTTTAGTCGAAGCCCACAGTGTCTTGTCGAAATCATTTTGAGAGGGTCCCTCGGCTGGGGCATCTTGAGGGCCGAAATCTCCATAGAGAGTGCGCAGCCCACTTGGGCTTCTTCGTATGTTCTCATCAGCCTCCTGTCCCGCTTTGTGCAAAGGAATACCCTCATTTACGGCAAGATGAGTCAGTGTATCTTTTCCCTGCATTGAAATTTGCTTCAGAATGCCGGACCAAAGTTGTTGATATGCATCTTTGCCAAGCTTTTGTAAAAGCGTTGTCCAGGATGGAGATGTGAAGCTTCCTGTCGGCAGAAGAGCCATGGGTTCATAGACTGTGAATCGCTTCGGTGCACTGGCCAAGAGGTCGGCTCTCCATGTCAAGTCTGACCCTGCGTTTTCAGTTGTAATTGAATCCAACCACTCGCTGATTGCATTGTGGATAGGGTTTCCCTTGGAAGCTTTTGGTTTTGGCATGATGATGGCAGGTGGAGTTTTCAAATGTTATCCACAGACTTGAGAGTTTTGGTGTAGATAGATAGAATAGGACGCCGTCAAACATTTGAGATTGACAAACCTTAAAGGAAAAGTTCAATTACGGCTGGTACAAAGACAGACCAGTTTGTGGTCATTCATTTATTTTCATCCACTAGGCCAACTATGTTGCACCCAGAATATTATCTGGTCTGGAATAAAATGGCAGAATCTTAAACAAATTCACGCACCTGAACCACACGATATAGCAAGTGCACGCGCGTAATGAAACAAGCATTCATATTGACCGTAATTGTTATAACAACTCTACCAAAACCATGAGTATCCATTTCCTTTCCCACAAAATTCAACTCGAAACCACGGGTATTTTGACCCTATGCTATTCTACATGCAACTTATACCATTAAGTCCGTTATCCGTACACTATCCTTCATCACAAGAAGTAATCACCAGGACCCCTCTTGAGTGCTGGGACATGTCTCTGATCATCAGGAACAGCAGAAAAGATGCTGAACTTGGGGTTCAAGTCTTTGTCCACAGCCATGATAGAAGCAACATTACCGCAACGGTAACAGTAGTTGGGTGCCGACCATACAGTCACTACCGAGTTCTCGGGGAAATGATACTGGTGATCGTTAGTGTAATCCTTGTACCGCTGGGGGTCGATAAATACCTTGTAACCCTCGTTGACGAGCTGATGAGCTCGGGCAATCAACTTCAGTCCGTTTACATGGTTGAATTCAGTTGCAACCTTGTCTCCAAATAACCATCCGGCTCCACGGGGGCTGATAGCCCATGTTTCAACGTCTTCTGGATCCGACCATACCAAGTCACAGAATGCACCCTCGTGAGGAATCTCCTGCGCACGGGCAACAACTCGAATCTGATCAATTGTCCTGATCTCTGGACTCAAACCTCCGTGAACGCAGAGAATCTCGCCATCGATGATGGCAGCAAGAACCAGGAAATCGAACACATGACAACAAGCTTTCCAAACCGAAGCGTTGCCATACTTCATCTGACACTCTTCATAGAAGCCGTACACCTGTGTAATTTGCCGAGATTCGTGGTTACCACGGACGAGCACTATTCTGTCAGGGTATCTGTGGAACATGGTCAGCCACATAAAACGCAAATGGCATTCAGGAATGCTTACTTTGCTTTCAGGCACATTAGTAATGTGAACGTTTCCAGGCTGAAGTACCCTCGATCCACGAAATCTCCCAGGAAAATATATCGATTATCGGCGCTTTGACTTGTCGAGTTCACCGTGACGCCAGATTCTAGACGGTCCGCCATGGTCGCATCGGGATCCTCGTCAGCCTCGCCTGCCTCGGTCTCTTCTGCGCCACTGGACGTCGCGTTTTCGCCAGAAGCTTTTATCTTCTTCCTCAACTTGGGGTTTGTAATCTCTGTCGGTGGCTCGATATCGTCTGAGGTGATGACGGTGGTGGATGTCTTTGGCGCCTGCACGTTGGACTCGCCAGGCATACCGCCAGATACCCGGAACAGCTCGAGAAGATCGTAGAATTGGCCGTGGATATCGCCGCAAACAGTGACGGGAGTACAGACTGGCTGAATGTTGGATTCTGAGATACCAAGTCAGCAAAGCTGTAGGTCAGCGGCGAGCTCGAGTCTGGCGGTCTTCACCTTCCATCAATATTTCTTTCACCTTCTCGCACAATTCCTTCATAACACGCTCAGGCAGATAGTGGCACTGCTTGGCCTCCTCAAGCCATTCATCAAGACCAGCATTGGGCCCCAAGTTCGCAGGGCCCGGTCGAGGTACGCTTGAAGCCATGATCAAGCATGCCCAGTCGAACGCAGAAGGAGGAAGATGTCAGCGGGGGGAAGGATCTATCAGCCCAGCGTTGGCTGTATTGCGAATGATGGCAGCAGGTTAGGTTAGGTAAGTGGTAGTGTAGTGATACACATGCGGCGAATGGGGGTGGGGCTTGAATATGGACAAGACCTAGGTACCTGATAGATGGATGGATGGAGGGGTGCGATAGTGAAACACCGGGAATTCTTCGGCCGTGACATTTAGGTAGAGAAACTATCAACTTCTTTGTGCTGAACTATTTGAGCTTCTCATGACTGCGATAGTTTTAGATTTGGAATTCTATTCAACCCTACTCGCGCGCGCATACAACACACAAATAGCCACCGACCACATGAGGAAGTTTCACCATCTGGTGGATAATCGCATATCTCATCTCTATAAGAACAGGAAAGGAATAAGAAGGCCCCACTATCACTGGCGGGGCAGCAAGGCCGCGATTCATCGAGCCTCACAGTACTCGTTCACTCACACTCACTCAAGCCTTCTCGCAGTATCAACTTGCGCTGCGATAACAGCTGAATAGACATTTGTGGTATGCAAAATGTCAGCTCAGACACCACAAGTATTGTCTAGACGGGCAAATGGGGGTTCCCAAGCATCAGCGAATCAGAATTCTGAATCAACAAAGGTATGCTGTTATCCTTGCCAATCAATGATTAAGTGACTGGCATATCTGACCTCTCTCAGGGCAAGTGGCCGCAAGAGAATAGTTCTCATGGAAAGGGCAGGGGAAGAGGTTCTAATGCGAGATCTGCCGAGACGAACAAGGTGACATCACTCCAGTTCACAATGAATGATGAGACCCTGACTGACCATGATGAAAGCCTACAAATGAAGGCGAGACTCCCAAGCCCACCAAAACTAAAGCGCATAATGAGGGTGAGAAACTCACGATACGCCGTTTGCCTCCTGGAATGACGGAGGCAGAATTCACATCCATACTCGGAAGCGAGTGGGAGGTGGGCAAAGGCAAGGTTGATTGGTTTTGTTTCGCAGAAGGAAAGATCTCTACAGAGTACGTGGCGCAATATTTCTACAAAATACTCAGGATGCTGACTTGCCTTGAAGCCCCTCAAAACCTTCTCGGCCAGGTCGTGCTTACGTTCATGTCATGAGAAAGGATGATATCCTGCCACTGAGCGAAGCAGTACGGAATGCCGTCTGGGAAGATGCAAAGGTTTCATTCAACAGCCCGTCCCTGATCGGACCCCCGGTACTTGACTTTGCCATTTATAAGAAGGTCCCAAGCGCTAAAAAACGAACTGATGCACGTCAAGGGACCATCGACCAAGATCCTGATTTCATGGCTTTCTTAGAAGAACTTGCAAACCCAACACCACCAAAGGAAACCGTTGACGGCGAAGAGGGTGACGATCTTGGAAAGGCAGAGAATAAAGTTACGACGACACCACTTATCGAATATCTCAAGGAAAAAAAGGCAAAGAATGTTAAGGATGGCACGTCTTCTAAACACTCTAAGCACGGGCAAGGAGAGTCGAGAAGTGGAAAGGGTAAGAGTACGTCTAAGGAGGATGAATCCGGAAAGAAGAGAGGCAAAGATTCCAAACCCGACAAAGCAGACAGGATGCCCAAGGAGACTGTTAAGATTCTTACTAAGAAGGCAGCTTCCGAACAGAGTGTGGACAGTCCGAAAGCCAACTCCAAAAGCCAAGCCAACGACGCCAGCGCTCAGGAGGCAGCGCCCAAGAGCCGACGCGCGGGAATTTTGGCTGCTGCGAGGATCCTACAACGAGACCTTGGCCTCAGTCCTGGAAGTGCGCACAGGAAAGCACGCCAAGACGCTGCCAAAGCAGATGTCGATGCGAAGACGACACCAGAAAAGGAAAAACCAGCCCCCACAGATGCTAAAGCTAGCAATTCTGAGCCCCCAGCTTCGCCAGTCAGAGCGAACGAGGCTGAAGCCCCGGTTGCAAAGGGCAGAGGCGCCGCTGGGAACTCCAACAAACAGCAACAACCGAACCGCAGAACGCGTGGTGGTAAGAACGCAGACAAGAACAAGGAAAGGGATAATGAGAAGGACAACACCAGAGAGAAGGATAAGAGCAAAGGGGGGCATTCAGGACAAAACCAAGCCGCGCCCAGTCCCCCGATTGTTCTTCTCAAGAAGAAGGGCAACGAAGCTGAATCTAGTCAGCCAGCGAAACCAGCGGCCAGCACACCTCAGCCACCGACCACTCAGGGAGGTAGATCGAAAGCCGACAATACAGCTGGTAGCCCCAAAGGTGCTTCTAACAAGGGAGCCAGCGCCCAGAAGAAGGCCCCTGCTGTTTCTCCTGGTGCTACTCGTGGCTTCGTCAAGCATGCCAACCCTTCTCAGGGAGTCACCGAGGCACTACTCAAGCAGACACTTTCGACATTCGGAACTATCACTTTCGTTGAGATCGACAAGCGCAAAGGCTTTGCCTATGTTGACTTTGCTGAGCACGACGGTCTCGTAAAGGCCGTCACAGCAAGCCCCATTACCGTGGCACAGGGCACTGTTCAAGTTCTGGAACGCAAGGATAAAAAGCCTACCAATGTGAACGCGCCTACACCTACGCCTACGACAACACCGGCTGCTGGATCCCCTGCGACAGAGAAGACATCTGGCAGAGGTAGACGTGGGCGAGGTGGAGGCAGCAAGGCAAAGGACTCTGGCGGTAGTAACCAGGGCGCTACTGCCGCCAACTCCAATTCCAACCCAACGAATGGCGGCGGCTGAGGGCAATAGATGCTTGCAGATTTTCCTTGGACGCACTATTATAGTGCGTAGCATGATATCCCGACTGCGCCGCTATCCCAACTTTAGCCTCTGTTGCTCTACAAGTCCAGTTCATCACACTTGAAGGACAAGACATAAGCGGGAAGTCAAGGTCAGAATAGCGGCCATCCTGAAGGCATACAGGAGCACGACCAAGCTATGGTGTCTGTGCCTTTGCCTTGGGGTGAACTCAAGACAAATATCTCCACTAGGAATTTACTACAGCCTGTCTTCCGTGGATGATGGCTTTGGTGGATAAAAGCGATTGAGGAAGCGGGAGTAAATCTAATTATGAGGATAGATGATTTTGCCAGCATTATGCTAGGATTGGAATCGAAGCACTACGATATGAACTTGCCCTGTTTATCTGCCGAGTGAGTGTTTATGTTTGCTTTGTAGGTCTCATGACAGAAAAAAAAAGGAGAAAAAAAAAGACATAAAAAGCAAGAGATCTAAAAGGAAGCCCTGATTGGCTTTCTTAGTTGGTCTACTTTTGAATGTTGGGTGCAGCCAGTTGGTTAAGCACGCAAGGTATGACTCCTAAATCGAATCTCCATTTAGTACTGAGTGAACCATGACTCACTGAGAAAAGAGACTACATATTCAGCACCTTAGAGGCATGGGAATTGATAAGCGCCTTGACATACATAATATTGATATATATAAGAATCTATCGCTGCTAATACTAATGGCTATCCTAACATTGGGGGTATCGTTCCTACACAGGCTGTTGGACCTGCATCCCGTAGTAAACGCGTTACATATCTATCTGCAAAACAAAATTGTGTATCATAACAAAAGAAAACAGAATAAGAGAAACGAGAAAAAATGAGAAGAGAAGAGAAAAGGAATAGTAAAAAGAAATCTAAGCAATCCAATCCCTTTGAGGGAACACCTTTTTGAAATCCAAACAACACTGTACTTTTTGGTATCCAAAAACCCAAGATTGCGCCGTTCCTATACCCTTCAAGCCTAAATCTTGGCTATGTCGCTGAAATCGCTCCAACAAAAACCATGACAACGTACAACAACAATGCTAGAACAAATCCAACTGCAATCGCCTCGCTTTGGGCCAAAACCTTCTTGGCATGTGCCTTTGCGTCTGTAAACCACAGCGTCTCTCCCACGCTCCGACGAGCGGCTCTGAGCCCAGGCAAACCGTCCATGCTCAGCACGTTGGTTTCCTTATGATAGTCCAACAACGTATTATTTTCAACTTGCTTTTCCACCCACATATCCATGGTGGGCCGCTCCTCAAACACAGCCAGTTCATTGACTTTGCCATCCACACCCTCTTGAAGGACTTGATCAAGAGTCAAGTTCTTCGAGATCTCGTCAGGTGCATAAATACCCCTCTTCACCCGGGGAACACCAAAGCCGCAGCTTGTCTGGGCTTCAAACACATCCGCCACAATAACGGCTCTGGCACCGTCGAATGTAGATCGTTTCCCCTTGGAAATACGTAGGACCAAATCAGGGAAGGCTGGGTCATCCCATTCAACAATCTTGGACCGACAAAAGAAACGAACAATCCGAGGTGCGGGACCGAAACTCATAAACATTAAACACAGGCGGCCGTTGTCATATGAATGGGCAATAGTCTCACAACCAGAACCAGTGCGGTCGATGTACGCACACTGGTTGGGTCCCAGGATGGCGAAGTGTGAATCTGTAAGGCCTTTGGGGGAGACATTGATATGAGAGCCATGTGTAGGAGCCGAACCTGTAAAGAAGACAGGCTGCTGCTGCACCCAGGCGGCCAGGTCCTCGGAAATGGAAGGGTAGAGCTTCATGGCGATGTAAACGTATGATATGAAAAGCAGAGATCCCGATCAACTCGATCAGGGTCTAAGTATAGCTGCAAAAACCAACAAGAACAATAATGCAAGTCTAAGTTGGAATGCTGCGGGTGAGATAACATGGTGGGGTTTTAAACATGTCGGCCAGTGTCGGTGAACCGACCCATGCGGGGGAATGGTGGTGGTGATAAGACTAGGCCTAGATGCGGCATCTCACCGTTGAGATTGAGTCATAAGAAGATGGTAGCCTGGCCCAATTCGATCATCGGGAGCAATTCGTATAGATACAAGGTGGAGCTTCATGCAAAGCCCTACCTGCTGGGATCTCACTCCTTGAGCGCGTCTCAAGGAGGGAGTGTGCGCATGTGAACCACAACAAGGTCCTCATGAGCATCTTGTTTTGATCTGTGCTCAGTTCTTCTGAGTAGCACCCAGCTCAAAAAGGAGAGGTACTCAGGACGGCAGATCAAACAGGCCCAGATAGTAATTAGTTGGGGATGGGGTAGGGATGGTAAGAACCATCCTCGTACCGCTCATCATCGTATGCGCTGCTGTCGCTGCTGAAGTGACCATTGACAATGCTGGTCGTGCGAGGGACATTGGAGTACGCCCCGCTAGACACAACACTGGCGGCCTTGCGTCCTATTATCATTTGGCCGTAAGCGTCAAGGTCGCTCGGGGGAGCTTCATAGCGAGGGGACCAACCTCCGGGACCCCATGGCTCGATGAAGCTGGTCTGACGAGGTGCCACGGAGGGTCGCTCATCAAACCGCTTCGACAAGCGTTCCTTGGCCTCAAATCTGTCCTTGTCCTTGGGCTTTTCGCTACGCTGGCGACCTCGATCGTCGCGGTCGTGGGTACGACGTTCACGATCCTCTCGGTGACGTCGCTCACGAGGTTGCTCATCACGAGTGCTCTCTTCCCGTTCAGACTGGTGGCGATCCTCCTGTTCACGGTGGCGATCCTCACGAGGTTCTCGCTTGCTTACTGACTTGGTAGAAACCTTGCTGGAGGCCTTGCTGGAGGCCTTGCTTGAAGGACGAGAAGGGTTCTTGCGAGCCTCGGGGAGAGGGGCAGGAAGGGGGCTAGGCATGGGGCTTGTCATGGGGCTTGTCAGGGCAGACGAGCCAGCCTGGCTACTCACAGCGTTGTGGCGCATGGTGAGGTTCTCATGCTTGGCCTGAAGGCCGATGAAGCGCTGCTCGAGGTCATGGTGCTCGAACTTGACGCGCTCGTTCTCCTTTTCAAGAGATTCTTTGACCTCTTTGAGCTCGTCGCACTCGGTGTTGAGGCGGCGCTTGTCGCCCTTGAGTTCCTCGAAGTCGGTGTTGAGACGACGGTTGTCCTCTCGAAGGACATCGGCCTCGGATCGAGCACCCTCGACTTGGGCCTTGAGTTCACGGCATGAGACAGTGGACTCATTGAGCTTGCGAGTGGCTTCTTCGAGAGATGTCTTGGACTCGTTCAGCTTGCGGGTAAGCTGCTCGATGGTGGCCTTGAGCTTATCGTTCTGGGCGCTGAGTTTATCGTTCTCGGCATTGGCCTTGTTAAGTTCTGTGTTTGCCTTTTGGAGATCGTCGCGGAGCTCGGATTCCATATCGAATTCATATTCGTAATCATGGTCTTGAACTATTAAAGGTAATTTCACGTTAGTCGCAGGGGATAAATGAAGCTTAGGGTGGCCATTGAACGTACCAGTCAAGGCCCTTGACTTATTATTAGAGGAAGAGGATGAAGATGTAGTGCTCCTAACCGAGGAAGAGCTCCTAACAGAGGAGCTGCTCCTCTTGGTAGGGCTAGCAGAGGTTCGCTGGTGCAAAGGCATGGCGTCGATTTGTATTGTTCACGATCGCCTACACAACAAAAAGAGAAAATGAAGAGAAGTAGAACGACGCCGAAGTCGTCTCGATGCTGCGATTCTTTGCGATTTTTCGATGTTGACTCTGTTTCGCTGCGGTGCAGCTCTGCCCAACGACCAGCGGTGTAAATGGTCTGGCAGGCGGGTAGAAGAGCGCGGGCAATTTGGCGGAGAGCACTCTACTAGGGGGTTATAACGGCAGCGGTAGGGGTCGGTAGCGGAAGCTTTGGGGCCACAAAGGCAAAAAAAAGTGACGTCGGTTAAGAAAGTTGACGGTGAGTTTATTTTAAACTCGAGTTAGACAGTTGTTTAACGACTATTGCTTTACCAGCTAGTAAAACAAGATGATGTGTTTTCTTTCTGTAATATAATACAGAACAGAACAGAACAAGATAAAAAGTCGAAATACACCTGTGTGTGGTGAGAAGGGAGATAAGTTTGGGTGCAGGCAGACGAGGGAAAAAAGTAGAATATTCGGGTTGATATGGGTTTTGCCAAACTCGGGTGTGGGAGGGAAAATTAAGAAAGAAAGGCCTGCCTACACTCCAGCCCATGTCTGAGGCGTCTGGAATGGGGGGTGGGCGATGGGAGGGGGCGCAATGATGGGAAGAAAAGGGCCAGGCCTAAAACAAAGCAAGGCAGGTAAAAGTCCTATTAGGCAGGGGATAGTTATGGAAGGAAATTGAGTTCCAAAAGACACACGCTTTGTGATAGGAAAGGACAGAAATATGCCTTGTGTCTGTTTTGAGGCTGTACTACCATGTATTCCACCTATCTGCCTATCGTCTTACACACGCTGTCTGTCAGTCCCCTCTGCTCTACGCTCAAGACAGATAAATGACGACAAAATGCAGATGAAAAGTTAACCGTTCGCTGCCTATTCTATTCAACGGAATACGGTAAAGTCCTTCCTGTACGTCTATGCAGAGTTGGTCGCAAACGCGGAGAGAGACGGATGCACAAGAAGGGGGCATAGCACACACACCCCGGGTTTAGTTTGAGGAAGAGGTAGTAATACTAGGCAGGCAGGCACTCTCTTCCTCTGCATCTTCTTGTTTCTCACCACAATTTTCAGCACAAAGCTGCATCAGCACCTGCTTGAACCGCAAGAATTAAAGGGAGTTGAGGGTGTGAGGGAGTGAAGCCGAACTTCTTTTTTTACAACCTCGTGATTGGAACATCAGAGACATGGTAAATGGAAACTGGGCCTGGCGCACACACTCAGACTCGCATTTGCGCTTCCATACACCCTTGGATCCTTTCTCAGCACATTAAATCCGCCAGTGTGGTATGCGCAAAGTCGA